GTCACACGTCAAGTCTCCAAAACGAGCGTTTCGTACGAGACTTCCTCAAAAACTCACACGTCAAAGTCTGCAAAACGAGCGTTTCGTACGAGACTTCCTCAAAAACTCACACGTCAAAGTCTGCAAAACGAGCGTTTCGTACGAGACTTCCTCCAAAAGTCAAGCGCAAACACCCATCGGAGCACACACACCACGCAGCCCTGCCAAGCAGTTTTGCAATTCCAACCCAATGCGACAGCAACATTCACCTCTACCGCAACTCACAACCTCACGATTCCCTGCGCCTGCCACGAATCTTTCCGCATCCACACATGTGAGCTTCAAGAAAATTTGCACCACACCACACGTTTGGAATGATATCGACCCGTTCTGAGCACACTCCCATCCACCAAAATCGCCATTTCAGCTGAGACTTGTCACGAAAACCGAGCATTCGACACACCCTGAAACGCAAATCCTAATGGCACGGCCACATCCAACACCGCAAAAACACGACTCTCCAAATGCTAATCCCAATGGAACTGCGCAGCAAACTGCGGATCTCACAAAATGCTGCGCCTGTGCAGCGAAATGCATCACGTTGCTTGCGCGACATGTCATTGTCATGCAAATCACAATGTAATAGCGGTGCAAACTGACACGTGACACATCCATGAAAAGTCACTTGCAAAAGCTTCCCCCAATGGCAGCAAATTTGAGACGCGACGACGACGACAAACGACGAGAGACGACGACAAACGACGACAGACGACGAGACGACGCACGCCATGCAAACATAGCTCCAACCCCCAGACCCCCAACTATAAACGGGAACCCTTCGCTACGCATTCGGGAAAAATGCAATTCTTCACTTCGAGTGAACTCACCGTGATATTTCAATGAAACGAAAAGAAAAGAAAGGAAACGAAACAAAAGGCAAAGAAAGGGACATGAAAACATATTTCACTTCGAATCCCCACCATGACATTTCAATCTAGCAAATTTTTTTGGCGCATTCTTGCAGGCGCATTCTGCTGCTTGTCAGATGTGACTGACATTCTTGCAAGACAGCGGCGCGCCGCCTGTCAGCTGTCTGGTCCGATAAAGGCAAGGAAGAAGAGGCGTACAGGTTACACAGCAAAAACATTTTCATGGATATTGTGTGACATTCTATCTGGTATATATTCTACGGTTCTACTTGCCATATTGTCTGACGTGTTTGTGATTGTGTGAGTTAGTGGTGTGTGTTGCGTTTGTGTTTGTGGTTGTGTGCTGTGGCTGTGCGTTGTGGTTGTGTGCTGTGGATGCGTCTTTGTGGTCGTGTCTTCGTAGTTGCGTTGGCGGTTGTTTGAGAGCGGTTGCTCTGCACGGCGCGTGTGTACGCTCTCCGTTTCGCGGGCCCGCGGGTCGACAGTGCGGGCTCTGCGGGTCCGTGGGCTGGAAGCTTGTTTTACTACTCGTAAGGCACCTGTTACTAGAAGCGATGCACTTGTTCCTAGTAGCTTATTGTTTTTATTAGCTTCTTGTTACTACTAGTAAGGCACTTGTTACTAGAAGCGATGCACTTGTTTCTAATAGCTTCTTGTTACTACTAGTAAGGCACTTGTTACTAGAAGCGATGCACTTGTTTCTAATAGCTTCTTGTTACTACTAGTAAGGCACTTGTTACTAGAAGCGATGCACTTGTTTCTAAAAGCTTCTTGTTACTACTAGTAAGGCACTTGTTACTA